TAAATTTTATTAAATCTGCTTGATGTCACATACCACATTATTCTGCCGCCGATTCTCTAATAACCATTCAGCTAATTTCTTCTCCAGTTCAGGAAACTTTGCTTGACGCCCCGCATGAAGCTTGAGAAGATGTGGCGATGCTTCTATCAACCAATTTTGCTTCCTTTGAATGTTAAATTTCTCCGCAGTCTTCTTTACAGAATGGTCATGCTCATGGTAACAAACAACCATTAGTTTTTCTCGAGCACACCATGAGCGACGCTGCTTAGATGTAATACGCGCTTTACGAACAGTTTTCCTCATATTAACAAGCAAAGTTGCAAAGTTTTTATTATGAGCATGCAGATCCCTTTTTAAAGTATGTACAACAGAGCGCGCCAATGAAAAGACAGTTTACATAGTCCTATCATAGTATCCCCCCGAGTATAATACCACTATCCGATCAAAGTACCACCCTGTGTATAGTACCCCATGGTATAACGTGGTTTTGTACTGTAAAATACCACTGGTACTTTAGTCCGTGAAAATACGGTAATTAGTAATGTCAATTACTAGTTGAGTCATCGTTTAGCCTATGACATGTTATGTTACCTTGAGTTACTTAGCTATTCCGCTGTAATAATATTACCGCTCGACGCCAAAGCGGAGAGTATTATAATATTACTGAACTGGGTAAAATAGAGTTACGCTTCTCTATGCTCAGGAGGAATAGTGGTTACGGGAATATTCGTCTAGACATGTGGTTATCGTGACGAGTTATTATTGTAGAAGGCTATTATAAGAATAATTCGTAAAGCGTTAATCACACAGAACCCATTAATGAAGCGATACTGAGTAGAACCCTCAGGATAGCCTATCGCGTTCACAATAATAAATGATCAAACGTTATTTTGACTGAAAGATTCAATTGTGCTGAACGAATGTACTGATACTAAGTCATTAACGGAGCAAATGTCATACCATTCAATTATTAGTAACTTCTTATTCGGTCAAAGTTTCATAATTTATTAAAGCCATTTCAAAAAACGAAAAAAAAAAAAAACACGTAAAATTGACTATAGCACCTATTATTGTGCGATACTTAATGTTTGTGAACAAACACGCTTTGTTTTCTCGAAGCAAATTCTTTGGAAACAATTTTTTTTTTCAATTTGCTTAAACCTCTGACGAAAGAATTATCAACAATAAAGTCACCATCCGGTTGTTGTTCAAGAAACGTTACGATTCGTCAACAAATGTAATGGCTTGTGCATAGATAACGGCTCTGTCTCCAAATCTCATCCTCCGATTCATTTGACTCACAATTCTTTACGATTGAAACAATTCTTCGTCCGTTGGTATCTCACGAGCAGTTACATTGTCATCAATTACCATATACTCTTCGGCATCCATTGGTTGATCAAGAGGCAATCGCTCAACAAGATCTTGAATTTCTCCGATAACATCAACTACAACAGGTTCAGAATTATCATTCAAATATTCGTCAAGAAAACCCTCTGGTAGAATGCTGGTTTTATCCAACAATTACGTATTGTTTTTTTCGGCACATTTTCCCAAACAGTACTCACCAAATTGATCGCATCTTTTATGTTTATTGATTTAGGGAGTTCATCGGAATTCATAGCGTCAAAGGCGTTTATACGATCTTCACAGAACACTTTTTAATAGTGCGCCTATTTATTATAGTTAGTATTATATATGTATAACAAGCTTTCTGAATACCAGACAAACCTCTTCTCCCTGAACTGCCTTCTTCTTCTTTCTCTCTGTAGGGTCTCTGTTTTAGCTTCATGCTGTTAAATTCTCACTTTTATTTACTACGTTTTGTATATGATTGGTCAAAATCCATCAGTGGTACAATCTTCACTATATCGAGAGACAATTTACTAATATTGTTTGAGAGGAAACTTGGCTATAACGCGAAATTTACTATATCGAGACTTACTATAAAACTTCATTTTATCGAGGGAAAATTTAATAATTCGGTTTTTTGTTCAGAGGAATTCTTGACTATAACGCGAAATTTACTATATCGAGACTTTACTATATCGAGTCTTGACTGTAGTTACAGTCTACTAACATTAAAGTGATTGCAAGCTTGGCATACTGATCACACAATGGAAAGGGGCTACCATCAGCGTGCTGTGCTCTCCAGAGCTGATTCATGAATTCTTTCCCTAACTTAGTTTCAATTTTTTCTGATATTAAAAACTTTTAAAAAAAACTCACTAATGTCTCTTTCTTGGATAAAAGAATAAATTTGGAATGTATAATTTTTATACTACCTTTTCCTCATAAGACACGTTAACTTAAAGGTCAGTTTATTGCAGAACCATGATCTTTGCTGAGACTGGTTTGTCGAGAACCAAAATATTATCTACCATAATATCTTGCGTCAGTCATCAGACAGCAAATATTGCCTTGGAAGTGCTCTCACATCGGTCATCAAACGGCAGTCCTGCTCGCTGATTTAATGTTCAGGTGCGTATCTATAAAACACAGGGAACGTGACACAGATCATTATTTACCATGTGAATTCCACTCCAGTTTATGCTCCTGGGGTTGGGTAACTACCAACCTCGTTATGAGTAAAAGTACCAAAATTCGTTAATATTAACAGTGACGTGACCATCGTATGACATCTTCAGCAATGAAATCTTGTGTCGCTGATGTCGCGCACAGATTTCTTTATCGAGAACCAGACTGCATTTACAACCCCTAATAAGGGGTTCACGAACTAATCGGGAAACGTTTAAGGAGTAAAGTCTGTTTATTAAATAAAACTACATATTTTTGAATTGATTCTGTATAATAAAGTATTGTAAGTTCTCTTGGAAGGCCTACACCTTGGCATTTTGAGCGTCAACCCCCGTTCCCAAACGGATTTAAAGTCATATTTACTATCAAGCGAATAACGAGATCGAATCTATATACTCTGATTGGTCGAAATCCATTGCTTTTAATCATAATTCGAACTATTAAAAGACCCAAAACTTGTTTATTTCAAAAATAATAATAATAATAATAATAATAATAATAATAATAATAAGCTATAATAATGAGATAATGCAGTTACGAACTTATTCTAGATATAGGGTACTTTCATTATGGTCAGCCCATATTCGAGGATTAGTATGTAATCGGAAATGTTTACTATCAAACACAAAGATAATTAATTGCATTTCTTATATAAAATCGTTTACTAATTGTTACTAAAAAAATTTGACTTATTATTTTGAACAACTTATTCGTTTTTGTGCAAAAATTTATCAGATAATCTTTGTGACATTGCGATGGACACAACGAATAATATTATCCGAAAGATAACAATAATTAGCAAAGTATTGGTTTATTTGCTAGCAAAAAAATATAATAACAGGCTTATTTGTTTTGCAGAAATTTCAGATATAGATAATAGTCAATGTATACTTATATTGATACAAATGCATATATTTATATTTCACTGATAACTTATTTAATATGGATACATATACTGTACATAATAATGTTTCTTGGACAGTTATGACAAAGTTACTGGGAATGTTGACACCTCATAAGAAGAAATTTGCTTAAATTTTTCTATTAAACAATCACAAACTTTACAAAATTAGACATGTTTATAATGATCAAAAAGGATCCGATCATATATGTCATGATTATTTTGTGGTTCTTCATTCAGCCCAACCTCAATTGCTTTTTGGGCCCTGATGTGTCCTTGTTCAGCTGCCTTCTGATACAGCTCAATTGCCTTTTTAATATTCTTTCCCACACCTGACCCAAGTTTATAGCAAAAACCAAGATCATATTGTGCCTTGGCATGTCCTTGTTCAGCTGCCTTCTGATACAGCTCAACTGCTTTTTGAATGTTCTTTTCCACTACTACCCCATAATCATAGCAAACACCAAGATCATATTGTGCAGAGGCATGCCCTTGTTCAGCTGCTTTTTGAAACAACTCAACTGCTATTTGCTTATCCTTTATCACTCCTGTCCCATGCCTATAACAAACACCAAGGTTATATTGAGCCTTTGCATCTCCTTGTTCTGCAGCTTTCTGATACAACATGGCAGCTTTTTGAATATCATTTTCTACTCCTACTCCATTATGATAGCAAACACCAAGACTATATTGTGCATTAACATGACCTTGTTCAGCTGATTTTTGAAACCACCCAATTGTTTTTTTAATATCTATTCCTACCCCTATTCCATTATAATAGCAAACACCAAGATTGTATTGTGCATTGACATGCTCTTGTTCTGCTGCTTTTTGAAACAACTCAACTGCTTTTTCTATATTTGTCTCTACAACTATTCCATTATAATAGCAAACAGCCAGACTATGTTGTGCACTGGCAAGTCCTTGTTCTGCTGCTTTCTGATACAGCTCAACTGCTGTTTGAATATTCTTTCCTATGCCTGTCCCAAGTTTATAGCAAAGAGCAAGATTATATTGAGCATTGGCATGCCCTTGTACAGCTGCTTTTTGATACAGCTCAACTGCTTTATAAATATCTTTTTCTACTCCTATCCCATTCTCATAATAGACACCAAGATCATATTGGGCATTGGCATTTCCTTGTTTAGCTGCTTTCTGATACAGCTCTATTGCTTTTTGAATGTCCTGTTTTACTATTATACCATTATTGTAACAAATACCAAGGTTATATTGTGCTTTGGCATGCCCTTGTGCAGCTGCATTCTGATACAGCCTTACAGCTTTTTGAATATTTGTTTCCACTGCTATTCCATAATTGTAGCAAATACCAAGATTATATTCTGCCTTGGCATGCCCTTGCTCAGCTGCTTTCTGATACAGCTCAACTGCCTTTTGAATGTTCTTTTCCACTACTATTCCATAATTATAGCAGATTCCAAGATTATATTGTGCTCTGGCATGCCATTGTCTAGCAGCTTTCTGATACAGTTCAACTGCTTTATGGATATTCCTTTCCACTACTATACCATAACTGTAGCAAACACCAAGATCATATTGTGCAGAGGCATGCCATTGTCCAGCTGCTTTTTGATATAGCTCAACTGCTTTTTGAATGTTCTTTTCCACTACTATTCCATACTTATAACAATTACCAAGATCATATTGTGCATTGGCATGGCCTTGTTCAGCTGCTTTCTGATACAGCTCAACTGCTTTTTGAATATTTGTTTCTACTCCTGTTCCATGCCAATAGCAAACACCAAGATCATATTGTGCCTTGGCATGCCCTTGTTCAGCTGCTTTCTGATACAGCTCAACTGCTTTTTCAATACTCATTTCCATTCCTGTCCCATTCTCATAATAAACACCAAGATTATATTGTGCATTAGCATCCCCTTGTTCAGCTGCTTTTTGATATAGCTTGATTGCTTTTTGAATACTTTTTTCTACACCTGTCCCATTCTCATAGCAGACACCAAGATCATATTGTGCCTTGGCATGCCCTTGTTCAGCAGCTTTTTGATACATCTCAATGGCTTTCTGAATATTCTTTCCCACTCCTGCCCCATGTTTATAATAAAATCCAAGATTGTACTGTGCCTTGTCATGTCCTCCTTCAGCTGCTTTTTGGTACAGTTCAACAGCTTTATGAATATTCTTTTTCACTGCTATACCATAATTATAGCAAATACCAAGGTTATATTGTGCATTGATGTGTCCTTTTTCAGCTGCTATTTGAAACAACTCAACTGCCTTTTGAATATTCTTTTTCACCCCTATCCCATGATTGTAACAGATACCAAGATTATATTGTGCATTGGCATGCCCTTGTTCTGCTGCTTTCTGAAACAGCTCAATTGCTTTTTGAATACTCTTTTCTACTCCTGTTCCATGTCTATAGCAAACACCAAGATGATATTGTGCATTGGCATGTCCTTGCTCAGTTGCTTTCTGATATAGCTCAACTGCTTTTGGAATATTTGTTTCTACTCCTATCCCATTCTCATAACAGATACCAAGATTATGCTGTGCCACCACGTTGCACGCCTTTGCTGATTGTTGATACCATTGAACAGCTTGTCCAAGATCTGCTTCTGTTTCTAGCCCATGTGCATAGAAAAATCCAATTAACCAAGAGCATTGTCCACAGCCTGTATGGGCTTTTAGTACTGCCAATGAACTTTGCTTTTTTTGTATGAGCCAGTATTTGATAAAATCTGCTGTTTCTTTCATAGATTTCCCACTAAGTTGCAACTTGTTGTATAACATTGACAGCTTGTCAGAAAGAGTGTGATCTTTAACCTTTTCATTGTATTGATTAGAAACACATTTTGGTAACTGGCTCAATTTTTCCATTGTATTTTTTAATCTGTCGTAGCACTGTTGACTGTTTGGTCGGTTTGCTGAATCACTATCCCAGCATTCTGTATATAAACTTCTATACTCTTCAGGCGTACCCGGGACTACAGCGTGGCGACCACCATTAAGCCTATAAGTCAGAAAGTCTGATGTATATGTACTTGCAAATTCACTGTGTGGAGATTGTCTGCTGGATATTTCCCATAAAATAACCCCAAAGCTAAAAATATCAGATTTGTCGTCATGCTTGCTATCACTGTTATTGAAGCATTTAGGATCAAGGTAAGCTCGGTAATCTGTTGACGTTTTTCGGAGTAATATTTT